AAAGCCCCACAGGAAATTTGTCATGGTAGATATTTAAGAATTTTTTCCACTCATAGCATAATCAAAGGAGACCGTTATCTCTCTTGAAACTCATTAACCCGGTGAAAAGTGGTCTAAATGAGTATTTTTACTGAAATTCCTCCTAACCGCGAGAGATTAAAATTCCGATGCCATCTCCTGGAGACGGACTCCTCTAACGTACACTCGTGTTCTATTATGGAATGCTCTAAATCCTCTTAAAGGATTTAAATCGAACATGATGCTGGGATATTTTACGCCCCAACAAGAATTGCGAACTAAAAATACAGTAGTTTCACCAACGCTCGAGCAACACTTCCGATTTTGGCGTAGTTACAGGTCATTTGTCATTTGTACACGTCGCAATGTGGCATATTCTGCGCCTGAAAAAACGATGTATTTGCTTGCTCAATTCTTTCAACGGGTTACGTGACTACGAGGAACGTGGGGTACTTTTTACGTCCACGGGCTCGATCTGCGGGGAGTTTGAAAGGGGTTTCCTTTCAAGTCACGCAAAAGTCTACTCTTTCGTGTAAATGATTCCTTCCTTGACTTCCCGTGCGCGAAGTGAGTAGTGCCGTTTGAATTGAGTGAATCAAATCATTCGTAGAAGTGAGGATTAGAGAAAAGGCTCTCTAACGTTCAAAATGATATCTTTAGAAATAGGAAAAATGTGTTTTTCTAATTTTTGATCGCTTGGTGCTTACCTGATCAGTTTCGTCTGAGGTTCGACTTCTCATGGGGACTCGGAATTTTTTTGTTTTGTTTTATGACATTCTTCAAATTGAAGTTTATAATACCAGTTGCTTTAGGAAAAACCATAAGATGGCTCGAAGACTTAATTGAGATTAATTCATTTCACTTTAATATACTGTTTCTTTTGTTCTGGCATTAATTCAAATTGTGGTCGTCAATTCTTGTTTAGACGTCAGACAACCGCGGAAACCGAGCCCATGCGTTGTATGAAAGAAATTCAAAAGATACGTTTCTTTACGGAAAGGAAATTCATTTACAGAGCAGACAAACTGCACGTTCCCGGGGAGCGACGCTGTTATTTGGGAAAACCACAGGAAGACCTTGTTTAAACGATTTAAAACTCTAGATTTTTCGTTGTTACTCCAGTCTCGATTAACAAAACATTTAAAGGAAATTTGGGTTAATTAAAATTGATATTACTGTATTACAATTTACCGACCGTAATCAAAGCTGAAATTAATTGCTCGGTGCGATTAAAGCTATCCTTTAGTGTTTGCAACCCCCCTCTTCTTTCTGCAATGGTTTTCCGAAAAGGATTAAGATTTGTTATATAATTGTAGGTATAATGCCTTCTTTTCAAAGTGTATTTTCAAGTGCGTGGGGGCAGGACGAAAGAAATCGTCAAGGCGTAAATTTTTCTTTTTCCTCCTGTAGTCATGATTTCACGAAATCGTACTTCCTTTCAGGAAATGAAATATTTTCGTCATTTGACACAATCTTCATCAAGAAAGGAGGCCATTGGAACAATAAATGAGCATAATAAAAAGCGTTGGTTTTTTTTTTTTCGGTACTTGACACAAACCACAATGAAATCAGCGTAATCATGAAAGAGACACTGTTCTGTACGAGACCTACCCACCCCGCAATGATGTAAGAAGGTCAGTCGAGCCCTTGGGTGGTGCTGGGAAGCGTAAAGTTTCGGCTGAATGGAAAATTCGATTACCACTGATTTATCGAAGGTTAGGCTCGAGAAGAATTCCTCGTGTGGATTCACATACAAGTATCGGATAAACAAAACTAACTAATAACGGAAGTAAGCTGAACGATATTTTATCTGAACAATCGATTGAAAACAGTATGAATTATCGATCGAGGAAAACCTGCCAAGGTCATTTGGTACATAAGTGTTTCAACTTCCGTTCTAGCTGTCTGAGGACAGTAAATGTTACACAAACCGGTACTGTATTCATAATTAGCAAATAAGATTTATTTGAATGCTTTTGATGTGGTGCAGCGATCTCATTTTATAAAGCTTTTTTTTTGTCGCGACCATCGCCTACGAGCAACAATCTTTCGTCATACATGGATCTGTTGAGATCAACAAGACTGTTAATGGTATTAAATATTCAAGTAGTAAAATATTTGCTTTCCACATTAAATCTTTGTTTCCTGTAGGCGTTGAGCGAAAATATGAAAGGATATTTTTGGCCTTGAATTCTTCGGCTTATTGAGAAAGTTCAGGTATCGATTTCACTCCGAAAAAAAAACAAAAAAAAAAAGGCTGGTAATGAGAAGTATTTACTTTTCTTGAGGGTCTCGCATTCTCTTAAAACTATTTAGACCTTGACCCATCGTTCACTTTCGTTTGAATTTTACTGGATTGCTCATTGGTGTAATTAACACTGATTAGAAGTACTTACGTAAGAAAAAAAAACCTGTTAAGCCTTTTCTCGCTAATCGGGGCATTTTTCTTTTCTTTATTGGGTTGTTTGCGATTATACAAAATTTGGAAAACGTGAAAATAAACTCCCGGTAGATTTGTACTTGTCTACAGAGGTATTTTTGTGAGTTGTGTCATCTTGATTCGCAATAGTCATTAACTTTGGACATTTTGTCTAGTGTCTGGAAAAATAATGCTATGCACGAACCTTTCTCTTTAGAGAGAATGAGGACAAAGACTTGAATATGCAATTTAAAGCCCCTCACTGGCCAGGCATAGTAAATATGAGCTTAACCATCTGACTATCACGAAAATATTTTGCATAGAAAAATGAACTCACGAATATTTCAGTGAATATGGTTATTAGGTTTTCGATATCAAATAGATCACTTTTCGGTGCTTTAGTTTCAACGGGGTGTCAAAACGGAATATTGTTTCTACAAGTCATGAAATACCAGAGGGCATTGTGATCTGTTAAGAAAAAGTGCACGAATGACATTATACTTCTTTTACCAAGATAGAGCTGTTTTTTTACAGTAACAATTTAAAAATCAGTCGGTCTTGGAATTTCAGCCATTTATCCTGGTTTTTGAGGACTGGCTATGGGCTAAAACCAAAAGTGTTTGAGTTCGTTTTAATCTCAAAAACTGTTATGTTTATTTGAAAGGTAGTCTAGCGAACACTTCATCAAGTGTTTTGATTGGTTCTTCGAAAGTTGTAATTATCAGATCATTATACGTGACGTCATCTCGCAAGGTCCATCTCGTTTCGTTCAGAATTTGCATGTTGGAATCTTGTGACAAGTTGTGGTTGCGTCTCGATCATTTTCCCCAAGTAACTCAACACTTCGTCTCGGAACGTGCAAGAGACACCCATACTTGCTTAAGAGTTCATAACTGAATTGATCCAAGCACGTGCAAAGGGTTCGAATTACCGTTTCTAATCTACGATGATCGAAGAGCCGTCATAGACACTACTGAGAGCGGTCGACAGGATTTCAGTGTTGTTTTGAGTGGGAAAAAATAAGGTCCTGTTGAGTTTTTTGCCGACTGTTCCTTCCTGAAGACAGCCCGGCTTAATTTACCATTGCTGCGTAAGGAATGAGATCGGATGTAGCGTTTGGGCTTATTTCTTGACGATATGCCCGAAATCGGTGAGGACTCTAAGACCGGTGTTTTCTAGTGTCTTCGTTTTATATGCAAAGGATGTACCAGTGTAGTAGGGTTGTACACCTTCGGCTATTGTTAAAGTTGTCAGATTTGTTTGAAATCGTGCTCTCTTTACAAAACAACGAACCGATAAAGCCTTGATCGTGTCAGAAGGGATTTAAGTGTTGTACTAAGAGCTCTATGTTTTGAATTAGCCAAACGTTACTTGTTCTGCAAGAGAATCTCGTGTCAGTTTTGCCCGGTAAACCGATAGCTGCTATGGTGCAAAGCGTCCCTTCAACTATAAACGTGACATTACTCTTGTTTTCTGCAGGTCGGGATAATCACGGCCAGTACGATAAAGGTATGTCTTTTAACATGGTTTCTTTATATTTATTTGTTTAACTAACGTCTCTTGATTAATAGGAAGCCTCGATAGATTTCTTTGTGGTCTTTACATAGAGAAAGTACTACATGAAAATGCTATATGTCAATGTAAGCCTTATATATTAAATAGATTTTTCGATATTTGTTTATTTCTTCCCCAATCTAACGATATCCTCGCTTAGGAACGTTAAAATGGGGTTAAATTCAATCAAACTGTCTCAAAATTGTGAATAATCATCGACAAAACATCCCCGAGGCGTTAGGAAAGCGTCGAAGATGACATAAGTTGATTGTTTGATCAAGTTAATTCGAAGATGGCTCGTAGTTGTGAAGCTATTGAGTACACAAATCTTTTTTAATTCCACGGTTACTGGAGGTCGTTCAACAAAGGAGAGTGATTATGCACCCCAAAAAAGTGTTCAGCATATTTTGCATGACTTTGATATGTTATGTAAATAGAAAATGTATTTCGAATCGAACGCGGGATGAGCTGTTCGTGCGTTTAGTGCATGCCTACTGTGGGAATTTTTAATTCAAAACTAAATACTTAATCCTTCTGTACCCAACTGAATTGAAAACCGAAGGATACGTTCTTAAGGAACGTGATTTCTTGTAATCAGGCACAGCGGGGTTAGAATTTCTCGCACAAAGTGTATTTATCCAGCGTGATGCTATAGCTGCAGAGGCGCCCAAATATAAACTTAAATATATAAAGGCCTTTGTTTGATGCAATCTCTGAACCGTTTCAAAATTATAGGAGATAGAAGGCTTTGTCAGGGCAGATTGTGCTCGAGCAAAGTTCAAACGGAGAGGGATTTTGCCGTTAAGGTAAGCTCTATTTTTTAATCTGTAAAAATAACACCACATCAGTGATTTTGTTTTACGGTTCACATTGTTGCAATTTGACTATTTTTTAAAAAAGGTAGCCTCCTTTCGATTTGCATATGCATTTCACATGATGTCAATTAGCTTACCTGCACAGTCCGTTGGATTGTCACAGAACTATAGTCGGATCGAAAACTACTCTTTCAGCGATAACTGAGAAATGAGTCACGTTTTTATTAAATAAATGAATCACGGCATTATTTTATACTCATTGGATGAACAACATGTCTGAGAAAAATAATATCATATCTCTATTGATATACTTGGATTGATTTAGGTAGGGGAACAATTTACGCCTTTATTTACGGGGTGTTTTAATTGCTCACATGAGGGAAATCTTAAAACAACCTACAAGTTTTATTTTAAGAACCAGCAAGGGTTTTTCTGTCATCTTGGTACTCCTATTTCACGGTTGTCGCATCCCAGGTCATGCTATCAATTGATGTCATGTTTTCTTTAGATGAGAGCTTGGGTGTAATCTACTTCAAACGAAAACCACATGACAGACTCGCAGAAATCTTATTTCCAGACTTATCTTTTGTTCAGGAAAATGAATGTTTCTAGACATATTTTCATGCTAATAATATAACACCATCCAATTATTAAATTACCTGTAATTAAATTCGGATCAAGTTTCAAAATTTTCTGTAGCAGAACATTGATGTATACGGGGGTGATTCTTCTCCTTTATAGCTTGAATTTCATTAGATTTTATTGATGTATTGTGGTACAAACTTATTGGAAAAAAGTTGTGATATCATTGTTGCAGTAATGCTCAATTAGGGGGTGATTTTTCTTTTTCATGCCAAGTTAACCTGTAATTTCAAGGGAACCTGATATTTTTGACAATTTTCACAAATTGAGCTATGGTTTTAAGTTCAAAGTGGTCGTAAATTTTCCAAGATATTAAAGTTTCTCTAATTTTTAAGTGCATCAGTAGAAAAGGCTCTTGAATATATTTTCTCATTTTGAATCACTGTTACAGGTTTTTTTACCTGGTTTCGTCTTACTATCAAAACAAACTGTATAAGAACACTACAAGTTTGTCAAAGTTAGCTATATACTTTAATATACTTTAATAGCTATATACTTCATTCGCTCTGACGAAGGGCTAACGCTCGAAACGTCAGCTTTTGTAATCATTACGGTGGCCAATTTACCATTTCAACTTTGTTGATATATCCAAATGATTTCGTTACCCCCACTGACGCAGCCCCAAACAGTTTCTTTCGAAACTATCAGCCTTAATTCATTTATATACTTTAATAGCCACATTATACATGTAGAGTTTCTCATATTCAGGATAAACACAAACTGAGGTTTTTTTTCTGCTGTAAAGAGCTGGAGTGGAAAATTATAAATGAGTAAGCATTTAGGCAAAATTAATTGGATAAGAATGTTACTGGATTACCTACAGTTATGCCATTTCATGTTTTTTTCTCTTTAATTGAGCAAATTCTGTATTGTAAATTACTGTCATTCACACACCCTTATAATCTCCTTTCGTCAGTTGTGAATTAATTACAAACTGGGCACAGAGAACAACTTTTGTCTCCTTCCAATGAGATTATCATGACTGTGCTGAAAGCTAAATCTGTGAATGCACTGGATTCACTTTGTAGAATCTAAAAACAATCACAGCTGTTGCTGGTCCATCAAGCTTCAGAACTTTATCCTATATACCTCACCAACAGATTTTGAACATTAATGGACCATTAGGTGTAAGGAAAAGGAAATTGATAGGTTATAATTACCTTGAAGATGAACTTTAAAAAAAAATCCAATTTTTTTTCTTTGTTAAAATGATACTGAAGATTTCCAGTGCTCTTACTTTCTTTCTGTTGTTTTTATGCAGCCGGGTCTAGAAAATGGTTATGGTTTTTTTTTTTTTTTTAATTTACTCAAGGCAGTTGCTCATATTTCTCAATTTTACAGTTAGTTTAGATAGAGATAACCTTTGTATCTGATTTAGTTCTGAGGCACGTATATCAAGGGTCCTCTACAAGTCATCATGTCCAAATGCATGTAGTGCTCTTAGGGATTCAATAATTGTTTGAAATTGTCTTAGAGGTTCTTCAGCAAAGTTTAGCGTGGATGTTTGGTTTTTGACTTTGAGGCTTTTTTGAAGTTTGTTAGAAAAAAAATTGACATCAAAATTAACTCTGTAAAATGTATACATTGTCTGTGTTACATTTCTCAGAAAGACAATCTAGTACAGACTGCTTATATTTTGGTGATGTGTTGTGCTGATGTCAATAGTTATTGCTTTATGACTTAAAGAAATACTTTACTATCATAAACTGTGTTATTAGCACAGAAAGTTCCCATATTCTATAATTTTCATGTCAGTGACAAACACTTTTTCTACACAGAAATTTTCACACAAACTAGTGAAATCAAAGATCATTTCCTGTTGATTTTGGTGGAAATTCTGGAGAACAGGCAGCTGTTTAAGCTATGTCTAAATCATGAATTAATTTTACCTGAGGTGAAATTTTCACTTTTATGAAGATGGTTGTGGTGAAAGGTCAGAGATTTTCTTTGGGTATATCAGGGTCATGACAAGTTAATAACTTCTTTATCAACTTCTCAATCACTGGAGACAGACGAACAAACATTTGTTAGTTTTCTCTTGTTAACTTAAACACAGATTTCTTCGACTAAGTCTCTATACGTTTTCCTTTTTTAAAAATGTTTGGTATCCACTTTGAAAACAGGAAACAAGACTATTAATCATTATATCCAGTTGATATTGTTCAAGTGTTGTCCAAATTAAATATTTGTAATTAACAGTTTGTATTCCACAGGTGCTTTGTATGATATTACTAATGTGTCTTTTTGTGAACAGAAGACTGTATTAATATGTTGAAACTCACAGAAGTGAATTATGGTACTTAGTAGTGTGTGGTGTGGGCTATGCAAATTTTCCATCTGCATTTGAAGGTCATAGAAAGTTCAACAAATGCATGTTTCTTAAAATGTTTACTTGACGAGATTATAGCAGACAATGGGCTAACACATTCTTTCACAACAGCAGACATGAGTTCAAGCATGAATTTGATAATGTGATCATCATTGGCCTATTAAAATGTGTTTTCCTTGAATTTCAAATTCTCTTTTTTTCTCTTTTAAAGCTGAAACAGATTTAATCTCAAACTTTGATCATGTCGAGTACTTGGAAACTATTTGCGTTTGGTAAATTTTCCTCTTTTGGTATGCTTTGAAAAACAATGGCTACTCTTGTTTTATGAATTCAAAGAATTTAAAAGTGGTAAAGGAAAATTTATCCAAAAATATCTTGCAAATTGTCTGGTGTACTGTGGTTTTGGAGATTCACTCTTTTTTTAGAAGATAAGTTAACTTTGCTTAAAGTATTGAATTCAATTTAGTTGGCTGTATGTGTTTGATGTTAAGTCCTTCTTAACCTTTACTCTGATAGGAATGGAACTATCTGGAGTCACACTTTAAATCTCAATGCTTAAATCAATATTTCAATCATTCATTCACTCTTATCCAATTTGACTTTCTTTGTTTAATATAAGATAGATGTGACCTTGGTTAACCAGAAATACTCTTTGTTAATTTCCTTTTGATACTCGTCTGCACATGCACAATTTGTCTATTGTTTTCCCAAAAAGGGAAGAATTTGGAAAATTCTGACAATGTTGTGTAAGATTAGAATAGACAAAATAATTCTCTCTGGCCTTTTTAGAGTGCAGGTTCTTTGTTGTTATTATTTTAGTATTTGAAGTATACCTTCCCGCATAGAAAAGTGATGTTTACAAAGTTGTATGCTAAAATTATATCCATGGTTTTTTTTTAGCACATTTAAAATTATCAATTATGTACAGAAAAGCTTTTCTTTAGAAACAGTCACGATGTCTGCTGTGATTTTTAAAAGCGATCAAGTGAATCCTTGGTATCATATATACAAGGCTAAAAGATTAAGAAAAAATTATTAAAATGTTTAAACCAAACGTTTTTGGCTCTTTCCCATCATCAGGGTGAATCCTTGGTGTTCTTTCCAGAATTTTCTCCATGTATCATTGTTTTATTTGCAACTGCTTGCATTTTTGATGCAGTTCAGTATTACTTGACGTCATTCCATGGCCAGTTATAGCAAAAGCACAGCACTTCTCCTTGAGTTCACAGCATGAAGTTTTGTCTATTTTTTGAGCTGGGTGAGACCATGTGTTGCACAAGGAGTCACTTCTCCTTGCATGTGCATTTGGCACAATTTTTTTTTTCAAAGCTACAAGTATCCCCTCATGTAGGATTGATCAATTGATTGTATCATGAAGCCATCAGTTGAGGTAACCTTCAAAACTGGGAGAATTACGTGTCGATAGACAGTATACCCTGTATGTGTTCTGAGCGTAGACCAGAATTGGTCAAGATTTTGTGTATTGGCTGTGTCAGATATTTCAAGCATGTAACATAATCTAATTTTTTTTTTCTACAGTTATGAAATTGTCCAGTTTGGACAGATATGTACCTCGCTAAATGTGCACCATTTTCATTTTGATCTTATATTGCTATTTAAAATAATGTAATAATTTCTCAAACTAGGTTTGTCATCATGAAGACTGCCAAGAAACAAACTACGGAAATCCTTTACTGTTGTGTTTGAGATGTGACGAAGTCCACCATCTTAGTGCTGGTTTCAATCATGCACGGTTCGATGTACCGGGTTAGTGTTCAGCCTGAAGTTTTAACACTCACCTTGAAAAAATTCATCATTGTCCAGTATCAAATCTTGGTGCCGTTATTCTTACATGTTGTTGAAAAACCTTTTCAGGGACCCTTACAGTGACAAGCATTTAATTTCTAAATTTAAAGAATTTAATTCTAATTAAAAGAAGCTCCTGATTGTTACACAAATTTTCCTTGTCACTGCCATAAGAATACATGCCAACTCTCTTGGATTATCCTGGAGTCTTCCTGAACAGAATGAGTCTCACAGTCTCCCATAATTAATTGGTTCAGCAAATCTTCTGGATAAAAGCAGGGCTCCACACACACTAACGGTAGCCCACTAGCCACAGACTAGTAGAAATTCAGTCTTGGCTAGTGGTTTTCCATTTCCACTAGCTAGTTTGGCTTGTAAAATATTGTAAAATATAAGATGTCACTAGACACTTGGCTAGTAAGTTAAAAAGTTAGTGTCCAGCCTTGTAAAAGGGATCAACTGGCTTTCAAAGGTTTTGCTCCACTGTTGTATTGCCAAAATGATTTTGGTTAATGCAATCTAGTCTTGCCATTTCTCAAAGCATTTGTTATGTACAAGTGCTGTTATGTTTCCAGATTTACTCAAATTGATTTTGGTTTTACAAACTGGTCTTGCCATTTCTCAAAGTATTTTTTAGGCAACCACATCTTGACAGAAACTAAACAAAAGCTTTCTTTTTTGGAGGGGGGAAGGGCAATTGGTTTGATTGGGGAAGGAGAACAATTTTTTAATTGGGAGGGTGCTGCTGTGATGGCTTAAAAGAAAAATTTCCAGATTAAATTTTTAGACTCAGCAGGTTTATAATTTTCTTATTTTTCCTCCTCAGAGAGGCCAAGTACAAATATTATAAGGACGCTATCAAGCCATTCAGCAGGTTCAGATTCAGGAAATGAGGAGGATGTTGAATCTGAACAGAAAGTGTAAGTTGCACATATTATATAGTACTCACTATTAAAAACTGATTCATTGAATAATGCAATTTTAATTAATAGTTTTCATTGGCTTAGCCATCATGGGTTATGAGCCACCATATACCATGCTCCACAAACATGGGAAAGTGTATTATGTCAGCTCAAAACTAAAATGGAGCTAAAAAATTTATTTGAATGTATATATATTTATATTTTGGGGCAAATTTGATCATATAAACAATTATTTCTCTGGCACTTGTTGGATAAAAGATTATTTATTATAGCCAACTTGATCTTTTGGGCCTAGTTGGCTAATCTATCATGATATCATATCCAACACCTGCTTGTGGAATAATCGTTTATTATTAATTTTTACTAATGTTAGCTCAGTTATATTGTCATTACTGATTTATTCATTGATGCTGTGTTCTCCCTTATTTTGAGTGTGACAAATAAAATTAATTTCAAATGGGTACACTTTAACCTTTTAAGAATTCAAGAATTCCAAGCAATTTTTGGCTGTAATAAGGGGTTCACAGGCAATAAATTTAACCAGTGTTTGCCTGAAAAGGAGAAGAACACTATTGATATTAATAAAATTGTATACTCGACTCTAGTTGTGCTTGTAGCTAGGTGAAGTGCAGTCAATATTAAGTTGCCAATATTTGATGATACAGTAATGTATATTTTTAACATAGTCAATTGAAGAATTGTCAAAAGGTCACTTCTTTTTCAGTCAAAATTTTCTTATATCACAATCAGATATCACCCTAGACTTCATTGCCTCCGTTACTTTAAAATTGAAAAGCATGGCTCTTTTCATAAAGTTCTAATCATAGGAATGAATATAAACAAGGAGACTTAACTGCATCTGATATTTGTGTACTTTTCTTAACTTTTGCTGCCTTTTTGTCCCCAAGAATGTGCAAATAATTATGTGAACATAAGTGGAGACTAAACAAAAATTTTGGCAATCTCTTTTAGACCGAAGAAGCTCTCGCGATAAAGATTTCGGAGCAAGGATCTGTACATTGGCACGAGTTTTGCTTTATTATATGGAAGAATTTCGATATTAATCCATTATTGAACAATGGCTTTATGTACCTTTTAGCTCCAAAACATTAGCCTGCATTTATAAAAATAGCAAAATTAACTTCTTAGCCAATTAAAAATATTGTTGTGTTGTTTTTGGTGTGGTAAGACTGACCGGTAACGGAGAAGATTGCGAATGAGCCCTAATTAACAGATGGTTTTTTTCCATTTCACTTCAATCTTAAATATTCAAGCAGTCTTTCTACTATTCCCTTTTGGTTGCGTGGGTATGAATTTAAAATTGGTTATATGTAGAACTGAACTCAAAATGTAATCTCTAGATTTATAATTACTTATTTTGTGAAGGGAAACAAATGTCTTCCATATTACTATAATTGCTATAAGTTAATTATTATTGTATAGGAAATATCAGATACATTTAGATATCAGACAACTTAATGTATATAAATTCATTCTCAGACATGTTTTTTGGTAGAGATTGTGGTCAGGCCAGTTAAAAACAAACAGTTGTAAGTCTTTTCATTACAATCTTTGCCTGTGTTCTTCAACAGGGAAAAGAAGAACAGGGGGTATTCCTCTGGAAAACGAATGTTCAAAATAAATGTAGCGGCAAAGAAAAAACCAAGACGCCATAATACTGAAGTGGGTTTGAAATGAAAAATTTTGTCTTTGTCATCTTTGAACACTTTGTTTAGTAACAGATAAGACAACTTGGTCCACAGATATTTTAGGAAATGCTGGATGGGTGTATTTGATTTGATTGCATCTTAGTGTATATATTATTTTGAGCCCTACAGTTGAAAAATTAGAAATTATCATTCCTTTACCCTCCAGTTACATTATAGTGTATTGTCTTGAAAGTCTTCATCTTTCAGCAGCAGATCACCTTACTTAACTGTATTATAATAATTATAAGTTGCTGAAAAATTCATTTTGGCTATTTACATTTCTAAAATGTGAAACTTAGAAAGTGCATATAATTATATACTTGTTTGGAATTACTTCCTTTGTGGGTGTATTAGACAGTGTCCTTAAAGTTTGAAAACTGAAAGTTGTATAGGTTTCTGCAACAGTTTCTTTTGTCGGACTTCTAGCCTAAGCTAGTATGTGGCCATCTACCACCTCACTTTTGGGTTTATATATGCCTTGTGTGACCATCTACCACCTCACTTTTGGGTTTATATATGCCTTGTGTGACCATCTAGTAACCTCCACTTCCCCTTGCAGCCCTTCCGGTAAAAGGTTATGGGAATCCCCTTATGCAAGTATTTCTCGTTGAAGATGGTCAGCAGTCTCTCCTAAATGGATACATTTTTTAAGGATTTTTTTTCTTTCCATAGGACCCAGGAAGGGAATTTTTCAGCATTAAATTTTTTGACAACAAAAGTGGAGAACTCCAGGTAGAAGTAGTGCCTGCTTTGAAAGGAAAGTCTTTGAGGTAAATGAGTTTGATTTCAAGCCACTCACAATTTTACATTATATTCGTACATATAAATTTTTAAAATTTATTATATATTGTTGAGATTATTAACCCTTTTCAGGGCTTCACACTAAGTTTTCAACGGAACTAGCCAAGTGGCTAGTGACATCCTAGATGTTACAACAATTTCAGTTTGTTTACAAGCCAAATTGGCCTGGTGAAAATCGAAAACCACTCGCCAAAACTGAATTTCTGCTAATCTGTGGCTGTAAGTTGGCTACTGCAGTTAGTGTCGAGCCTGGCCTTTTAATCCTAAGAGCAACTGGCATACAGGGCCATAGCCAGACTTCAGAACAAGACAAGGCAAGTTTCAGGTCTGGCATGCCTCCCCCAGAAAATTTTGAAATCTAGAGGCTCAGAAATGCTCTTTCAAGCATTTTCTGTGGCACTTTTCTTTAGAAAAGTCAATCTTGGGCAAGTGTGGAAGTTCACTTTTTTATT